TGAAGACACTGGGAAGGAAGGATGTGGTGGATGTCATCATGAGCGAAGCACCCCTGTTTGTCCACCAGTCCTGGGACAATGCAACAGACTTCAATGCAAAGTCCTTCAACTCCTTGAACACTGTGGCTTCCAGATGAAGTCCTGAAGTATGCCCAAGTGCACTGCAGTTGTAGTCTGTACAGTGGATTGGCTGGTATGATGTTTGCTTTGTTGTTGCCATGCTGTGCTTGTTTCTCAGTAGGATCACATCGTACAGTATGGTTCCGAATCAACCAAACTAGTAAAGCAATATTTTCTGGGTGAATATTGGAATACTGAGTTATCACTTAGCACTAAGCATGCACCTGGTTCGAAACAATTGACATACAGTGCCAGTAGTGTCTAGCTTGAACCTGACTGTGACAGCATGAAGTATTGCACTGCAAATCCCTTCCTAACATTGGAACACTCCAGTTATACAGTGTTAAGTCTGTATGTAACTACTGTACAGTATACATGTACCTAAGGTGGCAACCCCATCTGTATATATAACAACAGCAAATTTATAAGATACATGCTACAGTCAGGTATGTCAGAAGGTAGTAAGCTCTCCCAGACTCCACTCAGGTGCTGTGTATATAAACAGGGCCAGTGCTTAACCCCATTCCCAAAGGTGACCCTCCTGTAGATAAAGAGACAAAGATTATTTTCTGGAACGTGTAAGATGCAGATGTTGTTGTAGTGCAGCACCTGTACAAGAAACACACATAGGAGTTTAGATACTCACACTACAGACTGTATGTAAGTACTAAAACATATTTGTACAGTCTTTGAAGGAATGCTCTCCCAGAATATTGTATGTTGGCATCATTGAGTTTGCAGGTACATTTGTACATGTAATTATGGTTTTGTCTATAAAAGATGTTATCAAGTACAGTAGTCTGTAACTTGACTACAGTGCAATATGTCTACCATATGTATTATTTTTGTTTATGTATATTGCTGTGGTTGCATTGCATCACCTCTATTTATATCATGCAATGCCGATGATACAAGTCAATGTATTATCTACTTGACTAGTACATATACCACATATATTGACAGTATGTTTTTTATTTATCTTATTATTTTGCTGCATTAGACATATGTACATCATAAATATATTTTATGCTGATGTTCCCTTTATGTCATTCTTAATCATATTCCAGTCATACACAATATTCATATGTAAACTTGTAAAGTAATAAATAATAGACAAACAGACATCATCTGAGTTAGCAAACAATTGCTCTTAAGAGTGAACAAGAATTTGACACATTCTTTTTCTGTTGGTTGCCTCAAAAATTAACAACTCTTCCTTAGTGCTTGGCAAGATCGTGTTAATTAAAAGCATCTGCAATCTGCTGCACAGATATTGTGGTTAGACAATAATCTTTGATTATTTATTTCTTTTGATGTTCAGTCCCTTTGTTACAGTGTAATGATGCACACCAGTGCTATTGGTCAAGAGAAAGCACATGTACTGTTCATATAGCCGCTACTTTAGTTTCATAATATGTAATGTACACTGGCTTGCAAGGTTGGACAGCATCTTCCCTTGCTTCTTTCAAACAGCTAGACGTCTTGCTGTAGAAAAATTAGCATTGGAAAAGTATAATACGTATTTACTTAAATGCTGCAAGTTTTATCAACCACTGTATTCTGCAAGTGGTTTGTACTAAATGTACAAGATCTGTGGGAGGATTGGACAGAATCTGGCAAGCACAATTGTATCTATTAATTACAAAACACAAGAAGCAATATAGAACTGTCTAGTCTTATGACAGTGGATCTGGGCCATAAGGAGTGTATGTACGTGTGGTGTTTCTGACCATTTTACAAGAAACTGTACACTTACCAACAAGATACACTGGATGTTAAATTTTGTTTCCTGTCACCATCAATAAACAGGTTACTTTGTGAGGAAATGTCAGGAGTCGTTTCTGTCAGTTGCATGGAACTACACTACATTACATATTTGTACTAATGTCAATTCAAACTAGAGTTCCACGACCTCATACCTTTGCCAAATAGTGTTAACCTTTATGATTAAGGAATTGTAATAGTTTCATCGTGTCATTGATCATGCAAATAAGATCGTCATTTCAAATGACTATCAAACTTATGATGAATTTGGCAGAGGCATCCAATTGTGGTAAGTAGCGGTATGAATTTATCGAGGGTCATAAATTTGGCAAAACTGTGAATATGGCAGGGGCAAAACGTTGGCAAGGTCAAGAATTTGTCAGGGTCATAAATTTCGCATCGGTAGGAATTTTGCAGAGGCATAGATTTTGCAGGTCATCAATTTTGCAGGGGCATAGATTTCGTCTCATTACAAGAATGAACTGTTCAGAAAATAAACCCTGTGCAAAAATGAGAGCCAGCAGTGTTTGGAACCGCAATCGTGAAAAAGGCGTAGACATGGACATGGACATAGACTTACATGTACATGTGCCTTACGTAACGTGGTAGTATGATAACTATTCAGAATCCTGACATTTCATTCGTCTGTTGGTGGCAAAGAAAGTGCCCGGTCAGGCTCATTGAAACGTTTTTAATCTATACACCAGATAAACACATTCATTTTTATGGTCGTTAAGTACACCTTTTTTCAGACAAAATTCTTATTTAGTAAATTCCCAATATTCTAACAAGCGTCCACAAATTTGTGACTCTATATTCGACGTCTGCCACCCGTGAAATGGTTCGACTTAAGTCGTGAATAATTAATTAGAGTCTGCCGACACCATGATCGAACCTACCTACCTGGAACGAAACATCGCATCAGCAGTCGTGCAGTCAAGGGTCGAATTGTATCAAAGCGACAAAGACTGTGAGTCCCCTCCGGATCCATAGAAGCCTTACGGTGAGTATAAGATGTGTACTTTTTCGTAATGTACTATTGCAGCTGAATCTATTATTTATATATGATACATCGTTTGTAGCTATCCTCATATCAATCTACTGTAATTCGTTCTACTGTTCTTCAAGCTAGATGTATATTTATTGTATGTGTCAGAATGGGCCGGCTGCCAGCTTAGCTTAAACTTGAAAAGATAGCATTGTTGAAGGCCTCAACAATGCTTAAAGTGCTCATACCTCAGAGATTACTGTGCTGCATTAAGTAAATCTCTTCAAATTCGTCGAGCTATTACATTCGGTGGTGTTTGGGGAACCAGATGAAATTACGAGACTTGACGTTACAGTCAATACAGAATATACAGAAACAAATAAAGAAATACACAGGAACATGGTGCCCAATATAAGGTTTCATATGGAAGCAGCATTCCCAGCTTGGGGCGCAATCCGCTGCAGCAGGAACAAGTCTTCCCGAAGTACAAAATATATATGCACTCAACACTGCACATGAACACGCCTTGTGTACCTTGCAATGTCGTCTGGTAGAATCGTGTTCTTAGGTTCGATAGGCTACAGATCAGTTAACCGGACGTCGACGTCCTGCGATCGTCGAAACTCATCTATACTAGCTTGAAACTTAAGCTTATCCCAATTGGAGTCCCCTACTTGAAGCATGGCACACATCGACTTCTGCTTCTCGTCTGTTTTGGCGCGTTAAGCCCTGATTGACCAAGGACTTTATGTCGCCGGTATCGGCGGTAACATTACTGCTACGGAAAGCATGTGTATTATTGTGCAAAATAAAATGCGATGTAGACTAAATTTTACTACCACGAACAATGCAAAGTAACCAAAATAACCAATTCAAGTGTATGTGCTTCCAAGAATCATTTTTGCAACACTTCTATGTAATGTAGATGGCCATGGTATTAACAATGTAACCCTGTAAATGAGGATTCCTGTTTGTAATTTACAGGGTGACCCTGTGAACAGACGTTGGCGGCTATATGTTAAGCGGTTTAACGATTTTTTTTGTATGTACATGTACTATGTTGTTTCTTGACCCACTGCGGGAGGAATATCCCCGGACAGCGGCTAAAGACAGGGACTGAAGACGTTCCATTTGCATATGCCAAAGGCTTTTTGTCATTTGGGGAGAAACAGACTCATAACGGTAGCGATGATTGCCTTAGCGCATGGTCGTACTTTGACGTCAGGACTACGTGTATTACATAACCATACATAAATGTCAGGAACCTGAAATCTTATTTGTCTGGTGATGAAAAAGTGCATGGATAAGTTCACTGAAAGGAAGATCTTGGAAAAAAAGTCTGTTCACAACACACACGCGTTTCATTATTTTTTTCTTTCATTTTTTTTGTTCAGATACTCATTTCATTTACAATTCTCAACATACCTACAAGCGATCGACTCCTATCTACTCAGGACGTCTGTGCAGCTGAGACTAATTCTGAAGACTCCTACACTAACTACAAACCGCCTCCGCAGACGCCTTATCGTGAGTACAAACTACCGCATACTCCAAGCAGATCATACGGTCGCCAGGCAGGATCCATTGGCCAGAGGAGTGTTCATTAGCTTCATTAGCTACTGGACACTCCTCATGGCCTCATTTGCATAATTTATGAGGAATTGCTAAAATAGCCTTTTTGTTATGATAAGGCTGTCATTGGGTGGAGAATATGATCAACTGATATAATGCATGCAAATAAGGCTCTTGTTTGCGAAATCAATGTATGATTCGTCAACCGGAAGGGTTAACATCATTTGGAGAAAGTACGAGATCGTGGAACTCTTGTCTGTACATACTTCGATGTCTATTTGTTTTTAGATGTGTTTGCATCATGTTATGTATGTATGTATGTCTGTAAAGTATGGGCTATTGAGCCTGAAATAAACAGTAAACATAACTTTGACAGCGATATCGATATTAGTATTGTAGGATCAAAATGAGGCCCAAATGTCCAGACCATCATGTTTTCTTTTGAAGCACAACAGCAACAGCTCATGAGCACTAAAACTGAGAAACATACACGTAGCTTGATTGGGGGGGGGGGGTTAAAGCTTTCTCACAACTTTATGCAGGGCGACGAATGAACATGGCTGAAGACATCACCACCCCTGACGTCACACCAAGGGCCAACACGAACGACGTCCCCGAAGGCTGTGTGACGCAAATACGTTCAGATACCCAAACACAAAGTTTGTATCCAGATGCGGCTGTTACACACGTGTTCCCGAATCCGACCTACGCATCAGGATGCAATTCATCTGAAAATGATGCTTACAACTCGATTCCTGTCAAAGATTACACTACCATTCCTGAATCCCAACATCGCCCCAATACATATCAGGGACTGGCTGACCCAGGGCACACTGACAAGGATGGAGATCCCTCCATACCTACACCTACCGGGTACAAGCGGCATCATGATGATCACCATCTGCCTGGTACAGCTGAAGCTGCAGTATGTGTTGACAACGGACAAACAATCAACATCACCTCTACCGATGTTGCTTCTAGTCCACGAACTGACGAAAACGATGATGATGACAAAACTTTCATCAGCGTTGAGGCTGAGATTGGAAAACCAATCGAAGATGACGCGGATCTGGAGCCATACGCTGTCGCACACGAGTTCCAGAATACGGCGTACGGAACAGCATGCAACACAGCTGAAAATGATGCTCAGCAGGCTGCAAACGATATCGCCAACGTACCAGTAAACCGACTCTCCCTAAGTGCATATCTGAGTTCCATACAAAACGCCCTGAACTGGAATCCGATTTACAGGCCAAACGTACCGCAACAAGCAGCTGGCCGTGAGTTGTCTTTTTTTTTTGGATTTCAATTTAGTTTCATATCATCTACTATTTTACCAGGAAGGACCACAATGTTTAGTGATTTTATGTTCGTTTAGAGTTTTTTTTACATACTTAATCCCGAATGGTTTAACATTTGTTAACCAATACCCATTTCCAATAGTATTTCCCGTCCATCTACAATGTAATGATTCTCGATCACTTTTATGGTCCTATTGTTAGCTAATTGGTGATTTTCCTGCATTCAACAAATCAGTTGAGGGTCATCCCTTGTAAATATCATATCTTCCTTCCTCCATTTCTGCAAACATTTTACATGATTTTGCCAGCAGCGGTCATTTTTGCTAACACCTTGACGTTCCTTTCCTATGTATTTTCAGAGTGTACTTGTGCCAGGGTTGGCGTTGCTGTTATAATATTTGCTTTGTCGGCGGTATTTATCTTTGTCGGGATCTGGTTATATTTCAACGACAACGTTCGGGACGTTAAAAAGGTAACAACACTTTTTTTTTCAACTACTTTAGTTTTTAGCAGTGCATGTATGTATGTTTGTAACATGTATGCCTCTTGTAACATCATGTTTTTACCATTTCAGGAAGACTGAAGTGTTATTCTTTATTCACATGAAAAAGTGTGTCTTGTGCATGAATATGAAACAATGTACTGTACTAAAATTTCCCCAACAATTCATCGTCTTTGTTTTGGCATTTCGATGGAAAGATTAATCCATGTTTAAAATTGTCACCTGTGCCGTTGTGTTCATGATGCATTATGTATTATGTATTAAAGAACTAAATGCTCTCCTATCTGCAGCCGACACAGGTTGTGAATACTACCTACACCCCTGGCCACCCTGCTGTGGACACTACCTACACCCCTGGCCACCCTGCTGTGGACACTACCCACACCCCTGGCCATCCTGCTGTGGACACTACCTACACCCCTGGCCACCCTGCTGTGGACACTACCTACACCCCTGGCCATCCTGCTGTGGACACTACCTACACCCCTGGCCACCCTGCTACCTACTACATTCCTGATGGTACAGTTGTCACCACATCACCAAATGTGTCCTCCCACCCAACAATTATACGGTTTGAACCGACGGGATTTGAACGGGAAGTAAGCACCGATGATGTTATTACACGTACACCGACACCATCCATTCAGAAAGGTATTATATTGCATATTTGTCTTTGTTCTGGCAGTTCAGTATTTCTAAATGCTAGGGCGTTGCTAGGATATGGAATGCTTCTTCTCCTCCTTCTGCCAAGGGATCCATTACGGTCACTCCTAGGCCAAATGATCTGAAGCACATTTTTCTTTACGTTTCTGCGCAAGTGTTGACAGTCGATGGTGTTCCATCACATATGATTAATTATGACTACCTCGCATAGTAGCTACCCATGCTGCTCTTTACCTCCATGAAATGTGTCATGGAGGTTATATTTTCAGTTGCGTTTATCTGTCCGTCCGTCTGTCCGTCTGTCCGTCTGTTGGTCAACAAGATAACTCAAGAACGCCTGGATGGATTGGTTTCATACTTGGTGTGTTGGTAGGGTGTGACGAAAACTGGAAATGATTAGATTTTGGTCCCCCTAGTGGCTTCCCTTGGTACTGCAGCGCAACTTCCGGTTTTGATATCTCGCGATCTGGACATGCTAGGGTCATGAAATTTTGATGGAAGGTAGCTCTCGTGCTTGGGAAGAAGTCATATGAGTTTGGGCCCCCTAGCGGCTTGTTCTGGAACTGCAGGGCACGTTCTGGCGAAATGTTTAAAAGCCAATAAGTCCAGACAGGAACAACATATTTTCATTATTTTTGGTGTGTAGGTAGCTGAGAGAGGGATGTACATAATTAAATGCAAATTATGTAAATGAGGACTTAATTTGCATAATTAATGAGGAAATTCTATAATTACAGTGTTTTACATTATACTACTTACATACATGTAATGTATGTAACCTATGGCAGGCGGAACTTCAACAGATACTTATTATGCAAATGATGACCTAATTTGCATAA